AAAAAAAAATAAAAAAATTTTAATGCTTAATAATAACACACTTTGAGTTGTGGTGCTGAAGAAGTGTATTGAGCATACCATGAACTGCCCTGAAAACTAATTGGTCTGTCATGGAGAGGGTGAAACCAGTTTGCTCCTTGGAGAAAGGATTTTGAAGTTCTGCCTGACATACTGTGGGCATGTCACAAGGAGAAAATAGTCCTTGGAGAAGGATATAATGCTTGAAATGGTAGAACTTCAACACAGAAACACAAAAGAGTAAGACCCTGAATGGGATGGATTGACAGAATGACTGTGGCAATGGGATCAGTTGTGTCTGAGACAGTGAGGTTGGCTCAGAACCATTTTTCATAGGGTCACTATGAGTCACAAGTGACTCAATGGCACGTAACAACACAATAACATCTCAAGATAATAATATTGAGGACACATTTATACATTTTAAATATATGTACATTTCTGGTTGTTGGGTGACCTTAAACCTTAAGAAGAGAAATGGCAGTAAGTCTGCAGTACCCAAGAAGCCTGAACTCTGTTCCTCTGAACTCCAGTAGTAAGACCTGCTTCTTGTCCTAGCATTTCTCCAGGCCCAGTCTCATTCAGGAGTGCAGCACATCCATCTATTCCCCAGCCACCATGAGGCCTTGAAGTTGTTGCTGACTGTGTCCACGGGGATGCATCATAGAAAGCTGCCAAGGCAGGCCTCTTGGCACTCAGCTTTAAGCTTTGCTGATCTCTATTATTTTAGCTTTCACAACATAGGCTTCTGCAGAACTGTCACCATGATATAGAAGCTCTGACTTTTTTACTTAAACCCTAAAAGATAATTTTCCACCTCTTTGTCTCTTCTTTGTTATGCCATTCAGCTGACAATAAGGAGGAAGTATAACAGATATATTGATTGATGAGACAGCTCTCTTCTCCTAGTCACATTATTATTTTCATAATTTAATCTTTTAGAAAGAGAGTTGGAAAAAATTATGTTCATTAAATAATGAGACTGAGTTCCTCATTTGGTCAAATAATGTAGTTTATCCTAATTGCTCTCAAGCATCACAGTATAACAAAACAGTATATAACCTATTATTGCTTTTTAATTTATCAATTCATAATGAGAATTCAGCTTATTTCTATCTGCATACTATGAGCAAGTCTATATTCTGGGAATGATGGAAAATGGGGAAAACTTTTAACTCGTAAATAAAAATTTTGCAGAAAATAAAATATATATTTCATAAAGAACAGATTCTTTGGGATATGGTCTACTAATGAGTGTATGTCAGTATGATACTTTTTTTGTTCAAATCGTAAATACCTATCTTACAAAATAATTTTTACTTTTTAGATTTTTAATAATAATAATAAAGTTTGCTCTTTTTCTTTCTCTCAATAGAAGTGAGCTGAGTCGACAGAAACTTCATACTCAAGAGCTGCTTTCTCAGCTGGAAATGGCAAATGAAAAGGCAATTGAGGTAAGATAAGGACTCTCAAGGGAAGTACTTTCTGCTAGAGCTTGATACACATATTACAGAATTTTACCTGTGCTAAGTCCAAATTAATCCTTTACTTGAAAATGTCCACACAGATCTATTTCTTGTGAAACACATAAACCTAAAAGTTCACACTTAACATGATATGAATAAAAGCTTTGAATATAAGCTATTCATCATATATAAATGACAAAAGGTAGAGGTCTTATTTCTGTTTTACTAGTATAACCTCTGAAGTATTTCAGAGAAAATGTTAGCATCCTTTTTATTACCGTTAATGTCTAAGATTATTCTTACTTTGTTTTAATCTATCACAAAAGGCAAAAAAATTATTAGCCTATTGAAATATTAAAATATCCCTTTGATTGATACTTTAAAAATAAATAAAGCAATAAATCATCATTTTTACTATTGGAAACTTTTAGAATGGAAATAATTTCTAGATTCCTTTTGGAGCTTTTTAGAGCTCTACTTTTCATTTGATGTTGTAATTTCAGGGTGTTTGCTGCATTCATAAAAGGGGTTCCATTCATAAAACATATGATCCACTGTTTCTTTATGACTTACTATAGAAGCTGTGGAACCTGTTTGTAGACCATATAGACAAGTAGATAGTCATTCAAATAGAGTAAGAGGGTACTGCATGGCTTAAAATCAAGAAGTGTACATCACAATTGTATTCTTTCACCACACTTAGTCAATCTATACACTAAGCAAATAACCCTAGATTTTGGAGTATTAGAGAAAGAACATAGCACCACAACAAGATAAAGGTAAATAACCCAACTGAAAAATGGGCACAGGATATGAACAG